TTGCAGAGGTCCTGAGTTCAATTCCCAGCAACCACATGGTGACTCACACCATCTGAAATGAGACCTTTTGGCCTGCAGCATACATGCAGGAAGAACACGGTGTACATAATTAATAAATAAATCTGAAGAAGAGGAAGAGGAGGAAGAGGAGGAGGAGGAGGAAGAGGAAGAGGAAGAAGAAGAAGAAGAAAGAAGAAGAAGAAGAAGAAGAAGAAGAAGAAGAAGAAGAAGAAGAAGAAGAAGAAGAAGAAGAAGAAGAAGAAGAAGAAGTTGTTCATATCATCATTTCAGAAATTGCCCTGGCGAGAACACACATCTCTCAGACTCAGACACATTGTGCAGCTAGTTCTGTAGTTCAAACCCAGGTCATTAATCCCACAGCCACCTGATTTCTAGCTCATGCAGACAGCTAGTTCACTGAGACCTCTAACCTGCTTCCCTAGGTAGCTTCAGACTGTGATTCAGTGTCTGTCTGCCCCATAACACAAGCTATTTCTAAATGAGTTCAGAATAGGTGCTGTTACGTGCAGTGTTTGTGTGTGTGTGTGTGTGTGTTGTTTGCACATGAGTGTGTGGGTGTGTGTGGGTGTGTGCAGGTGAAGAGCAGAGCAGGATGTCTTCCTTTGTTGACTTCTGCTTTATTGGCTTGAGACAGTCTCTTGCTGAACTGGAAGTTCACCTTTTCCACTAGGCTGGCTGGCCAGGAAGCTCTAAGGATCTGCCTATCTCTTCTCTCCAAAGCTGAGGTTACAGGCACACGATGCAGCCCGGCTCAGCCTTTTACATGCAGCTGAAGATTTGAACTCAGGTCCTTAAGCTTGTAGAGCAAGCACCCTTACTCCCTGAGTCATTCCCAGTCTCCACGAAATTTTGCTGAACGACTACATGAAAGAGTGAATCCATAAATTAATGGCCGAGCCTCTTGAGGACTAGCTGGGAGTATTTCCCCGGAATGAGGGCTGGCTTGCAGTAGTTGGGAGATTTTGGATGGGAGCTAAGAAAGAGCAGAAGCAGTAGGATTGTCTTGTGTTTCCAACAACATGATTATGATTAGCGTGTACTGAGCCCTCCTTCAATGCCAGGCACTGTGCCAAGGTGTGTGGAGGGATCACTGACCCCGTTGAATGGTATTTGTGGCACCGGCTTTTCTTGAGCTTTCTTGGTGACGGGACAGGACTAGATGATGACCCTCGGCAGTGTGTCTAGGGGGAGGGGGAAGAGGAGGCTCTGCTCATGACGGGGAGGGGGGGCTGGAAATAGCTCTGCTGGCAAAGTGCTTCCTGCATAATAATGAGAACTTCACTTTGGTCCCCAGTACTGGGCACAGTGGCTTGGAGTTGCAATGACATCACTTAGAAGTCAAATGGCCTCCTGGAGCTCACTGGCCAGCATGATCTAGCCACATCAGAGAGCTTCCGGCCAGCAGGAGATGTGGTCTCAAGAAAAACAAAAGGGATACCATCCGAAGAATGACACTTGGGATTGACTTCTGACCTCCACACACATGTATACACATGTGCACATGCACACCTTTCCACCCCCTCATGTGTACCCTGACACACAGGAACTACAACACCAAGTTAAAAAATACTCACAAACGGAAAATGAGAAAAATGAGAGTGAATTAGGAGATGCCTACCATCTGAAGAGGGATGTCAAGAACAGAGAATGGACACAATGAATTAGGAGATGCCTACCATCTGAAGTAAGACATTGGGAACAGGGGATTGACTAAAAAGACAGTGAGAAATGATGGATGTCAGAAAGCCTGCAGTTTCCAGCCCGGAACTCCCAGAGGATAGAGAGAGCTCCTGTCACCTGGAGCATGTGGGCTTTGAGCATAGAGCTGGCTCTGCCTTGAGAGTGTGGCTCTGGGCTCTCTTGCAGCAGTGAGGTTGTCTCTACAATGAATACTGGCCTGCAGAAGCATGGACCCCTAAGGACTTTAGGGTCCTGCTTACCAACACTGAGTATGGGACAGGAGGAAGGAAACGTGAAAGGGCATACAGGGCAGTGGGTAGTTCTTGCTACAAGCATGGGCTATCTCAGTGTGGGGCTGAGAAGAGCAGAGCTCTTGAGAAAGCAGACCTGTGTGAGCTTTGAAATGTACAAATGAGTTGGTGGAGGGACGGAAGGGCAAAGCCCATTGTGGGGAAAACCAGGGTGAAACAGAAGAAGGGAAACAATGAGAACTGGAGAGTATTGAGTTCACAGGAAATCGACACACGCTATGCTGTGCAAACCGTTGCTTTGGCTTTGGCTGTAGCAGAACTGCATATGTGGATAATATGTAAATACCATTTATAATTTAAAAAATCTGGAAGAGTCAATGAGATAATCTTTCTGAGGGCACTCTGACAAGTACAGAGGAAGATATTTGTGGTTGAGATAAAAAGACACTGGGTGTAGAGTCTAAGGAAACAGAATTCTAGAGCCAGCCAGCCCAGGGAAGGAGGGACGTCCCTGGTCCTCTCCTTGGCCTCTGGGCCCTGGGCCAGCAAAGTGTCAATAACTGTACTTTTCCAGGAAGTTCTGAGGGCTGTGATACTTAAGCTTGACTGACAGCGTCACTGGATTTAGAATCACCTAGGAGACAGACCTCCGGGTGTGTCTAGGAGGGGGTTTCCACAGAAGTTTAACTGAGGAAGGAAGGTCCACCCTGACGTGGGTGGCACCATCCCATGGGCTGGGTCTTGGATTTAATAAAATGAATAAAGGGAGAACACCAGCCGAGAACATCAGCTTCCACCTGCTTCCTGACTGTGGACACACTGTGAACGGAGGCCCTGAGCCCCCGCCCCACCCTCCTGCCAAGACGAACTGTACCCTCAAACTGTGAGTCAGCGCGACCTTCCCTTCACTAGTAGTTGCTATTGTCACTGCAGTGGTAAAACACCTATGACGGGTAGTTAGTCTGCTTGGAGTGATAGCTAAATAAGACGACTTGCCAGGTGACTTAATTACGGGATATTTCTCACATGCCAAATTGAATGTCAACTTTTCCTTTGCTTTTTCTGCTTCTGGAAAGCCTTGGCTGCGGCTGCGGCTGCGGCCTCTGTTCTGCATCTCTGGCCTCTGCTCTGCATCTCTGTGTCCTGCAGCAATGTGTGTATCTTCTTGCTTTTTTGTTGTTGTTGGTGGTGGTGGTGTTGATGTTGTTTTGTTTTGTTTTCTGAGATAGGGTTTCACTGTGTAACCACCCTAGCTATCCTGGAACAAGCTCTGTAGACCTGGCTGGCCTCAAACTCACAGAGATCCAGCTGCCTCTGCCTCCCAAGTACTGAGATTAAAGGCTTTAAAGGCGTGAGCCACCAGCGCCCAGCTCCTCTCACCTTTTGATGAGGACAATAGTCATTGGATTGAGGGACCACACTAAATGCAGGATGAAGCCATCTTGAGATCCTGAGCTAATCTCCCCTACAAAGACCTCACTTCCAAACAAGGTCATATTCTGAGGGTCCAGGTGGACAGATGCACGTGACCTTTGAGGGGCAGGGCATTATTCCATGAACTACAGTATTCAAACTATAGTGAAGCAAGATCACCATGTGCCCTCCAAAACCTGCTCTCACCGTGCTTCTAAACATCCCTCTAGCGGCTGCCATTGTCCAAGGGATAAAGTCATTGTCCAAGGGACACACAGACTGGTACTGCAGTTCTGACCTCTTCCCGACCTCTGGTCTTAGCCTTTCCCAGCTCCTTGACCTCCTACACACGACAACCTTATCTCTAGTTGAAATCCTTCTAGAAACCTTCTCAGCGGTCGGACTCCTACTTCAAGTGCCCCCATAGAAATTACTTTTCCTTTGGCTAGCCCGTTAACCAGCTCTTCTCATTCCCTTTGATGAAACCAGACTGCGCCTCCTGTCTTCTAATTTGATTGTGTGTGTGACTTGGAGCCTTCCTCCTCCACCAGCAGGCACAGGAGACTGAGGGCACAAAGGGACCTGGTACCTGACAGTCGTGACTTCCTGCCCTGTGTTTTCAAACTGTGAGCCAATTGATCCTTCCTTGACTTCCCCCCACTTTTCTCCCACCCTGAACTGTCATCCCAGTTTCTGTGACAGCTCTATCCCCTTCCTGCTATGCCGGCTCTGTTCTCACTACCCACCTTTTCTTTCTCATGGGTACTCAGAGAAACCCCTGATCTGAACTCCAAGAGGACCTGGTATCTTCCTGTGGTCCACTGTGCATCACCGACTGCTTTGTTCATGAGGATTCACATGGCGTTTCCTCTGCTTAGCTTGGTACTGGACCCTGGGGACCTAGCTCATTCTCTGTCTCCATCTTCTTCACCCCTTTCCTTTGAGTGTCTCACAACCACTCTTCGGGTCCCACACACCCCCATTCAGACACCTCAGCTAATCTTTAAAGGATGCCCCTGAATGAGGGACCGAAATTCCCTGAGCTTGTGTGGTGTGCTTAGTCCCCTCTGATGGGGCATCATAGAAGAAGCAGGTCATAGGTTTGTAGCCATTGCCAGGAAGGAAAGGCTGTGTGGAGGAGGGAGCCTAGCCTTCAGAATCCCATCCCTAGACTCCCCACACACTCATAGTGAAGAGAATTAGGTCTGTATAGCGTTCACCAAATTCTGACCCTCATCGCCCTTCTCATGCTTCCTGTCAGCCCAGAAAAGCTTTTCCGGGACTACAGAGAAGTGGAAAGTTGTGTCCCATTGTGAACACAGATGGAGTCACATGTCTGGGGACACTGCACAGCACCAATAACCCTTCCATGTCTTGCCTTCTGCTGGACGATAAGGTAGTTTTCCAAAGCGAGCTACACCCCTGCCTCTGAGTCAGCTTCTCCTATGCTGCAGGCAGCAGGTTCTGTGACCTCCCTTCTGAGTCAGGAGGATGAGAGGAGAAGAGGAAATAGCAGGCAGCATTGGTTCCAGAAGTTTCTCTGGCCTGGCGCTCTGAAATGGCCATGGGCAAGCCAAAGATGCAGCACTTGGCACGAACAGGCCCAGGCCAGGCATCCCTAGGAGGGTCACTCACCCGCATTTTTCTGCTGCTTGGTGTTTTTGATGTAGGCCGAGAACTTGGAGAAGATGTCAATGCCTGCGGTGTTGGACTCCCGGTGTCTCGCAGCCAGTTTGGGGTACCTGGAAGGGAAGGCACGGTGCTCTATGAAACTGTGAGAAAGGGTCTCTTTAGGGACCAGCTTGTTTGTATCACGGGGGCAGCATTCTCTTGCTTGGCTGAGGCTACCATCTTCTGGGATGTTGCTGTCATCCTACCTACAGGATGGGTGGGCGCTCAGCACTCACTCATAATAAAGGAAATCCAGTGAGGTACTGAGAGACTCAACCAAAGTGAGTCAGACTCTTGGACAAGGAACCAGAATGTCGTCCATAGGTCTCGTCCTGGAACCACCACCAATGGTCCAGAGTGATACAGGGCTGGCCTCTGTGTGGGTGGGGGTCCCTGCTAGTTTCCCTGAATTCATGAAGATAGACACCTACTGTCAGGCCCACCACCACAATCCTGGCTGGCCAGAAGAAGTGGATGGTGAACTCATTTGTCCAAAGGAAGAGTGTTCCCTGGGTGCCTCTAAAATGACTCCTGGCACTGAGTACATGTGTGTGGTACTAAGAATTGAACCCGGTCCTGCTCGAAGAGCCTGTGTTTTTATCACTTGGATTTCCAAGCGTGAAGGAAGATTTACAATGATCCCCCACTCCGTTCTTTACACTGTTTCTCATTTTAATGCTATAAAAAAATACAAGAGATAGAGGGCCAAGCTTAGGACCTTGGCATTAAGACTGATGAGGAGGTGTGCTCACACGTGTGGGAGCCCTTGGATTCACCCCAACACCACCATCATAGGGGTGATCCTCACTACATTATTAAAATAAACAAAACAAAAGTCATCATGCGTATGGCCAGGAAGACGTGGGCAAAGACGGAGGCAGGTGGCCGCTCATCATTAATTATAAACGTGGGTCTTTGTGATCTAGAGTGAACAGTTTTACTGTATGCTTCTGGTTGCTCCATGTTTATTACACATAATTCTTTTGTTCAGATTGTATGTTTTCACCTAAAGGAGCCTTTAAAGATCATTTCCTGTGGGGTTGGGGAAGATAGTTCAGTCTGCAAAGACAGTGAGATAAAGACTGGAATCTGACATGCCCAGAAGTCACGTCAAAAGGTGAGGACGGTAGCGTGTGTTTGCTATCCCAGTGCTGGAGAGGTGGGACTGGCTGTCCAGCCAGACTAGACTAATTGGTGAATTTTAGGCCAGGGAGAGATCCAGGTTCATAAAATAAGAGAGGAGGTGACGCTTGAGGGATGACACCCAAGTTGACCTTGGCCTCCACACGCACATGCACACTCATGTGCACAAACCTGCATGTGTGTGTGTGCGCACACATCATTTGCCATCCTTCTTAACTTATTTGTTCTTCAGTGATCTCATTGACTAGGACTGCCCTACTTTTGGGGTCTTGGAGGGTTTACGGTCTGAGGTACTGCCCTTGGAAAAATCCTCAGCCTAGGGCCCAGCTCTCAGCTCCCCTGGGAAGAGGAAGCTCCTCCTCGGTGGAGCTGGCATCAGGTTTACAGAAGTCCCAGAGGTGCAGTGGTCACCCAGGGGTGACTTCATAAGTAGTTACTATGCTGGGGTGCATCTTTGAGTTGCCCACGCCCCTGAAGCAATCCTAATAAACTCGCTGGTTTACCAAGCTCGACTTGGGTGGGATCATTTCACAAGTCTATGGTGGTGCCCTACTTGGACTGAACAGACATTTCTTCATGGTGCCTTGCAAAATACTACATCGTGCTTGAGAGTCAAAATTAGAGAAGTGTTTTCTGTCTGTGCTGTTTTAAAATTTGCCTGCCAGCAAATGTGCCCACTTACTAAATATCCATGGGCTTTTCCACATTTCCCAGCCGGTTGCGCTGTGGTCATGTGACTAGATTCTAGCCAGTGGAATGGGGAGGGGTGGGGTGATGTAACCCCTCATGACTCTGGCCCTTTAAGCACTATGTGTGTCCCTCTTTTTCCTTTCCTCTGCCGAAGACCTTGGAGGCCATGAGCATGTAACTACAAGGTGGAAGAGGGCCGCACCATCCACTGAGACTCTGCTTCAGCTGCAAATGCCCTTGTCCTCTTATGTCAAGGTGGAAGAGGGCCACACCGTCCACTGAGACTGCTTCAGCGGCAAATGCCCTTGTCCTCTTATGTCACTGCACCTCATGTTACTGTATGTGGCATCACAGACCTGAAGCCATGTAAGAGACTCCAGAGCTCACGTTCAAGGCGTGCAGCAGCATCCTGTGGGAGCGTCTGAAACTGTGTCCACCCCTCAGAGGGAGGGGAGAACATGGCTCTGCTCTACTGCTTCAGGAGGTCTGTACACACTTTTAATAAAACATTGCACTTGTGATGCCTTGATTTCGATCCATGGTAACACTCAGTGCATGCCTGCTACCTGCCATGGCACAACATGTAACCAGCTGACTGATGGGATGGATGGTGCACCATGTAGCCAGCTGGTTTTTGTTTTCTCCTGGATTCTATGCTTTCCTTCTTCAGTTGTTAGTGTGTGCATGTGTGTATTCATGTTTTTAACGTGTGATGTGGGAAGAGTGTAGGGGGTATGTGTGTGCATGCATATGGGAGCCCAAGGTTGCTGTCTGGAATCATTCTCCATCACACTGCATTTCCATCTTATTCTCATTGGTTGAGGCAGGGGTCTCTCAGTCAAACCAGAGCACCTCAATATGGCTAATCTAACCAGCTTGCTCTGGGGGGATCCCCTGCCTCTGCTTTCCAAGGACAGAATTACAGGCAGCCAGTTGTGCCCACCAGGCAGTTAAGTGAGTTTCTAAACTCTCGCCTTCATGCCGGCAAGGCAAACATACATGCTGAGCTGTCTCACAGCCGCCTTCACTCCCTGACTTCTCATCCAGTTTCTCCCCGCTAGGATTATTTTAAAACAGTCAGCTCTAGGAAAGACCTCCGGAAAACTCACACAGTCACAGATTTAGGGCTGAAAGGGATCTTGGAGGACATAGTGTCACCCCTTCGTTTTCAAGATAATCACACAGGAGGGAGAGAGCCTTGTCTAAAATCACACAGGGTGTGTGATTGGTTTCTAGGCAACCATGCTTCTCGGTTCTGAATCCTAGAAACTCTGACCATGGGATGGAGACCACAGGTAAGGGCCGGGTTTGTCTCAACAATCACTCTACGTGAGCTCCTAGATCTTTTTTTCCTGAGCATTAACTGGGTCGGTCCACAGAAAGGAAGGATGTTAGTCTCATTTAGAAGCTTCATCATGACCCTAAATGCTCTGTGGAAACAAGGGTAACCTTTTTAAAGTGCTGGAGTACTTGTGTGTGATTTCCTCTCCTTTAACAAACAAAAGTAAGGGAGAAAAGTCTTGGCTCTCTGGCAGTTTTCACAAACAGCAACACGATAAGAAATTCACGGCTTTGCAGCATCAGGAAACAGAGTTTTGCTGCCCCCTGGAGAAGCAGAAGGCCAGGCAACACTATGCCACGGCCTCTGGATGCAAGCCACCCACCTTCCTGCCCAAGATGGTGGGGAAGCTGGGTATGCTTGTGGCTTGAGGGTAGATTGGCAGGATTCTGAGCTCAGAGCTGAGGCATTGGCTTGGTGATATTTACTGGCCGGTAACTGCAGCACCTGCCCCAACCTGATGGTGCAGAAGCAGAGAAGGATACTCTCTGTGAACGGCATCCTGAGTAACTACTGATGGTAGTTACTGATGGTCTTATCACTGAGGTCCTTACTTAAGGAGGCCTCTGAAGGTGTTCATTTAGTGACCTCAAGGACCTACAACCTAACAGGTCACTAGCATGGCCGGAATGTCCTTCCTCACACCTCCTCTACTTAACTGAAGTTCAGAAAGGACCTGGCGGGAGGCAGCAGGCCCAGCACCCACAGCATGAGTGAGCAGCCAGGAGACACTAGAATGACCCTGCCCAACACTACTAGGTCCTGATAGGACAGTGGAAACTTTACAACCTGATTTACAAAAAGACAATGAGTTTGTTAATGACCTTCAGGAAGAATTTCAAAATCTATGAAATATATACTCCCAGAGCCCTTGTGTCCTTTGTGGGCAGTGACTGAGGTGATGAGAGCCAGGGGTCTTGACTAACCTGACTGTGAAGAACCAGGACAGCAAACTGTCTGGGGTCAGGAATGTTCTTTCACAGAGGAGGCCTGAAGCCAAAAGCAGACGTGGGATCATGGGCCAAGATGACACATATGTCCCCTGGTAGGGCGAGCTGCCTATCCCACTTACCAGCTTGGCACAAGAGCATGTGAACATGTCTTCCTATGCCCTCCTATCATCCTTGTCAGACTGGTTGGAAGTAGACATTCCTGCCTGGGAGGATGGTTCCAAGGAGACAATATTAACCTCCCCGGGCAAGGCCTGGACTCCACTTAGGTTGCTGAAAACCGTAATTCATGTGGGATTCTCAAGTAGTGCAAGCAGCAAATGAGACTGAGTCCCAGGGGAGCAAGAAAGAGCAGTCAGCCCTTTCGGGACACATCCATCCTAGCAGCTGCCTGGTGTTCTGTCCAGAGACATCTGTGGCTTCTGGCTGTGGCCTGCTGGGCTTTGTGTGTGGCTGCACTGACGATTGAACTAATTTTCTTATTGAAAGTCTATACCCAGCCACCTCCAATGGGCTGCAGGCGGCTTTCCCGTCGTGTGAAAACAAGCTGTCCTTACGTGGTGACAAAAGTTATCCTTAGGGGAAACTGTGTCCTCACTTAGGGCTTCATCAGAGCACAACAAACATAACTAATTTTCCAACAGTAAAGGCTTCATTGGTAGCCTTGGGCTATCCCACCATGCCCGACTATGAGAATGACGGTAAGGAACGCCCCTTCTCCCAGGTCCCAGGGCTGGTGAGAGGGGGATGGGACCGGAGAGCCCAGTATCTGACACAACATGGGAATTACATATGTTGACAGGTAAGCACAGATTCAATAAACACAAGAGGGCGATTGGTTGTCGGACTCCACTTTCCTTACCGGTCTCCTTCCTCCTCTTCCTCGGCTGGGCCCTTCTTTCTGTCTTACCTGCCACCAGTCAGCTCCCCCTACCTGATTCCGAATCTCAGCCCATTTGTTACTGATGCTTTGTTTTTAGACAAGATCTCAGCTACCCCAGCCAGTCTTGAACATCCTGCACTCCAAAAAATAACTTCAGATCTCCCTGACTCTGCCTCCCGAGTGCTGAGGATACAGGCATATGGGCCAACACACTCGGTTCATGTGTAGCGAGGGGGTTGAGTGAACCGGGGCTTCGCACGTGCCCGATAAGCGCCCTGCCGACAGAGCTACATCCTCGACCCTTAGCACCACTTCCTTTCCCAGCCCCCAGGGTAAGACTTCCCGTCAAATCTCCAAGGTGTTTGCTCCAGACCTTCCCTTGGCTCCCCGAAGTCCATGCTGTGTTCTGTAAGTAGTGCCAGTTTTCTGGCTTCACAATGAGGCATGATTGCTTTAATCTCTGATTACAGGATTCCACAGCGATCAGTGAGCCTAGGCGCTGCCATCTCTTCTCTCCTCTGCATGCCCCGCCCACCGCCCCCCCACCCGGTGAGGTCATCAGCTCCTGCACCTGGCAGGCCCTGCCAGTGTTTGTCTGCTTATCTGGGACCTGGTCAGACTTACGACTCCTGGTGCAGTTTCAGGCACCAGCTGTCCCTTTCCTGGTTTGTCGTCATCTGGCCTCTGAAGATGAGGGAGTCTGCCCATCTCGAGTCTTTCCGGGTACAGCGAACAGAGTTGGGGAAATAAGCCCCATGGGTAAGGAAGAGTTAGTGATCTCCGCAGGGTCCCTAAAGTCACTTCGTGTAGGAACAGATCGGCACTACCGTCCAGCAACGGGCCTTAGTGGACCCACTTTGAGGCTGGCATTCCACACTGCTGAAAACAGAGGCCCTGCTCCAAAGTGAAGCAGCCCCTTTGGGAGCCTGCCCTCCCACAGCTAACCCTCCGCCTCGCATAGGTCTGCAAAGACTGAGTTTATTACTTCTCTGGGGTCAAGGTCTCCTCCAGGAACTCTTCTATCTTGTTGACGTCAGTCTTCACGTCCCCATTGAAGGTCAGGAAAGGCGGATGCGCGCCAGGAGCGAGGTTGTGCAGGTCCGCTGGCTTTCTGTAGAGAGAGTGAGATTCAGGTGATGGCAGGAGGCCTGGTCTGAGAAGCCTTTCACTTGAACTCCTCCGGTCTGGCGCTAATTAGCATGCCCGTAGCCTAACCAGATTTGTGGTATTCGGGGTAAGACAGTAGAAGCTGGCTAGAGCCCTGCAGGCCTAGGATGTGACAGAGAAAACTCAGGGGGTGGGGGAAGGAAATGGCAGAGGGACCTCACAAGATGAAGCCGAGCACAACTGAAAGAAATCTGGAGGGAATCACGGTGGTTGGCTAAATTAACTTGCAGCTTTGGCTGTGCAGGGCTGTACTTGCAAATGCTGCTTGCTTCACTAATTGGTCTAATGAAACCCACAATGCCTGGCTTGACAAATTAACATGCTGGGGCTGGAGAGATGGCTCAGTGGTTAAGGCCACATCCGGCTATTCAGAGGACCCACGTTTGGTTCCCAGCTCTCATATTTAGGAAGATTACAACCACTGGTAATTCCAGCTCCAAGAGATCTCATTTCCTCTTCTGGCCCCCACAAAGGAAAAAAAATTAACACATTGGATCCTACTTTGACCCTAAGAAATATCTTTGAATACAAAAGCTATATATGTTGGGGAGCTGGATTTGAGTCATCAACTCAAGTTCATATGCTCCCATTATGAGTGACATAATTTTAATATATAGTAATTGCTATCTGGCATTGGTCAGTATATTTCTAGACACCGCAGAATACTTTTTCTGTCTCCAAATAGGCCCTGGTGTGGGAAATCCATGAGAAAGATAAATATTAGTTGAAAAACAAGACTATGAAATGGAGTCTGGGTATTCAAAGAACTTGGTCTTGCTCACTTTCACCATTGGGCCCTAGTGGATACCCATGCAGTTCGGTCCAACAGACCTACACTCAGTTTTACAGATCGGGAAACATTAGGCAGACTGTGGCCAAGGACTCTATAGACAGGATTACGAGCTGGGCTTGATGGTCTGTCCACTCCTGGTGTTCCAGCACATGGAAGGCTGGGGCAGGAGGACTGCTACAACTGTGAAACCATGCAGAACAGAACATTGTCTCAAAACTTTATCAATCAAACAGACAAAGAGACCCCACTATTACTAGGTAAGAAGATAACTAGGAATCTAAGACAAGACTTTCAGCTCAGGATCAGTGCCAGAAGAATCTTAGAATCATGCCCGGCTTATAGAAGTTTTCAAGTATGAATTTCAAATGACTACATAAACCAAATATACATCTTAATTTAGAAAAGGAGGATTTGGGGCTGAAAAGATGGTTCTGAAGTTGAGAGCACTGGCTACTCTTTCAGAGGACATGGATTCAGTTCCAAATAACCACATGTCAGCTAGTAGCTCACAACTGCCTATAATCCCAGTTCCAGAGGAACTGATGCCCTCTTCTGGCCTCTTCAGGTACTGCACACACAAGCTGAGCAGACACAAATGGAGGTAAAAACGCCCATATATAAATTAAAATTTTAAACTAAAAGAAATTATTTTAGCTGTGAAATTAGAGATCAAAAGTTTGCCTGATATTGATAAAAGCTCCAACCCAATTATGAAAGTTTTGAGCTTTCCACTTAATGTGGGGGATTAGTAGGCAGCACGCCTACTGGTAACCTGTTAATCCACCATAGTTTACCTTTATTGTTTTCAATCTTAATTTGAGCAAAACTGTTCTTAAAATGTGACTATTATGATTTTAATCTTACTGGAAAGCAGTTGTTTTGTTAAGTATTTTTTTTTAAATCCTGTTCAATATATGTAAATTTAAAATCAGAAATGGAATCTTTTAAAACAAGCTCTTGGGAGCATTTAGGGGATACCTCAGATTGTAAATGATCAATTTCCAAGGAATTGCAGCTTCATTCTCCTAATAGGACTTGAGTAAATGCAGCATGTGTTTAGGAAAGCTGGTTCCTTTTGTCACTGGTGTTCCTGGGACCAGGAAGACCTTGTAGAGGAAGGGTACTTAGCTGACACAGTCCCTCAGAAGAGAGAAGCCAGACCCATCACCCCAGCTAAGATCTCAAGCTCAAGGTCAGCCTGGGCTCCAGAGTGAACCCAGTTTAGTCTGTGCAACTGAGCAAGATGCTATAGCAAGGCAGAAAGCGCAAAGAGGGAGCTGGGGTGCAATGAAACACTTGCTAGTGTGTGTGAAGCCCTGGGCTCAGCTCCCCCATTCCAAACACAAGGAAGAAAGAAGCCCTCGGGGTATGTGGCTCACCTCCATAGTAATCAGGTGTTAGTGAACCCCACCACCTCCACTGAAGTTCCCCCATGATCCAGAGAGGCAGGCAGAAATATTGGAGAAGAACAGGGACGTGTGGAGCACACATCCATGAATAAGCAAGGAACCATCTGAGCTTTCTGGTCTCTGCCCTCCGTAGTGCCTGGTGTGGTCCCTGTTTGTGCTGGACAGCGGACTGACCGCCACTGAGGAGGTACCTCTGGCGACAGCAACAAGAAGGACTTGACCCTGTTACTGCCAGTGATGTGGTGTGCTCTGCCATGCTCCTGCCAGGGTCAAAGGTGAGAGTGAGGGTGGTTGAGGGAAGGGAAGCGGCCTTGGCAACAGAAAGTATGGACTCCGAGGGCTGCACTGAGGAAGGAGAGAGGGGCTGACGGCCGAAGTCTCTGGGCATGGGGAGCATCCATGGCCCTGTATGTTCTCTGAGTTTGCAACATTCCTGCGGACACTGGAGTAGAAAATATGAGGTGGAGGCACTGTAAGAAGTCAACAAGAGGGGCAGAGGCGTCTGTAATGAGACAAATTCCTGGCCTAATCAGTTAGGGAGGGGACAAGAGGAATTTCAATGACATGCTGCTCCCTGTCACTCCCAACAGGCTGCTCTCCAGCCTCGTTCTGTGACACTTGGAACTCAGACAATTGAGACTGCAAGTATTTTTAAAATCTAATTTACTTAGTGCCTCTGTTGACTCTGTGTGTCCCTCCCCTGACATAAAGAGAGGACATTCTTGGCCGGTTCCTCCTGTTTAGCAACCGACGCTGGCAGGGAAGGAAGTCCTCACTCATTTTATTTCTGAGCAGTCACTGTGGCTTAAAGATACAGTGATCTGCTGATCAAGTGGCTGTGTGGTTTTGTTTCTGGGATACTGGATACACGCTGATTGCTGGATTCTGACAAGTTGGGGACATGCCACTCTGGCTTCTGAAACTTAGCTGGGCATTGCAGAGAGATTGCTGGCCAGTCACAGCTCTCCTCTCTGCGTAGACCTCCTATTAACACTTGGAGTTGACTTTACAGAATCACGTATTGCCTCTGATTTGTGAATTATTCCATGTGTCTCAATTTGTCTTTTGCTCCTTGGATTGACAATAGCACGGGGACAGAAACATTGTTAAGATGTAACATTGCTACCAGGTTTCAAGTTCAGGCAGTAGGGCAAGTATAATCCCGAACATGAATACAGGGCCCACCTCCTTAAACCCTCAGCAGCACTCCTATGGATTAAGAAGGCATTCCTTTTTCATCATCATTGGGAAGATGAAGAAATGGAGGCTCAGGAAAGTTCAAGGTCACTCAGCCAATCAACGGCGGTACTAGAGTAAGAGATGAAGTAGAATATATGCATGTGTAGAGAGTGCTATAAACTAAGGTGATGCTACTCGCCAGGCCCTCCTCAGAGAGGCGTTCGCAGGACCAGATCTGATCATGTGAGAGACAGAGGCATCCATAAGATGCTGGAGAGACTCCCTACCACAGCCTGAGCTCCAGCTGGGAAAGGCAGTGAACTCCACAGGTGGGAATCTAAGGACCTGGTCTCTCTGGAAGCAAGCTCCTCCCCCGGCTCTCCAGCCTTTTCTCTTCATTCGTTACTGACACTAGCTGCATGGCAGACACATGCCCCCTTAGTGTACTAAAACCAACAACAGGCACTAGGATTTTGGTAGCATCCCCTCCTATTTCTGGCTGGGGGATGGGGCAGGTCATCTCTGCGGCTCTCTCTCAGCTTCTTTGTATAATATGGAGTCGGGGACTTTCCCTTGTGAATGACAGAGCGCGCGATTTTACACGGGAAAGCCCTCAGTGGTTATAAAGCACGGGGACAGTGGAAGTTATGACTGGATGAGATGCTAAATGACAATTATGCCCAAGCCCAGGTGACAGGAGCTAGGTGAGTTTAAAGGGGAAGCCACTCTGGAGAGTGATGGGGTGCAGAAGCCTTATTGAAGAATTGGGGTTGAAGTTGAGCCTGGAGACAGGGTATTCTGTGCTTCTGAAGAGACGAGGAGGAAGAGCCTGTCGACGTGGAAGAAGCTACCTAGTCAAGAGCTACTGGGATCCAGAGTAGCCCCGGAGGTAGACCAGTCTACAGGCAGATAGGACGCAGTGAGACACATTGGGAGAACTGTTTAAAGCAGACTGCTTTTATACACGTTCACACTGTGGGCAGAGGGATGTAGGAAAGGTTTTCTGGGCACTGTTAGCCCCAGCGGAGTAAGACGCCTGTTGTGCTGCAAGACTTCTAGTCAGATGAGCAAGACTATAACTCTGTGGTAGAAGACTTGGATAGTATTTATGAGGGTCCAAGGTTGGGCCTTGGCACAATAAATAAATATGAATAAGATTATAGTCGAAAGCTCAAAGGAACAGACATGATTAAGCCGTTTCTTTCCTTTTAGGACCTCCCCATAAAATCCTCTGCTCCAGAACCCCCACATTATGGATTCTGAGAGCGAAGAGAAGGGATTAGAAGTAGTCTGGATTCCAGTGCCCCTAAGACTCAGTGGTCCCACAGATGCAATGTCTGTGCTATTGCAATAAATATGTTTTTAGATGCCTGTGTCCATCTTTGAGACAGACACTCATCAAGTGGCCATTTGCTTGCTTTGTTTCCCTTGGTAATCAATTCTCACCAATCAGGGTAGTGAATGGAGCACAGCCCCAAGGGAGGTCCTGGCTTTTTCAAGCTCCTTTGTGCCCTCCTCTGGTCTCTGGAAACAGTTCTGGGCAATGAGATGGAACCCATCAGAGATGGCCTGGAGCCACTAGCTGGCTTTCTCTCATCCCGTCTGAATCTTCCTTGCGCTAGGTATTTGTCATGAACATAGGGTCTTTTACCTTTTCAGATCCACAGTGGTGACGTTGAACACGACGCCTTTCAGCCAGAGGATCATGAAGAGGCGCTGAGAGAAAGGGCAGTTGCCAATGCTCTCCCCATCAATTCCAGCCTGAAAAGGAGAAGGGGCAGATGCCTGAGGTCCGGGGCACAAATAAACACAAAAGAACATGGATGGTACTGAACAGCCTCTGGGCTTCTAGCCTCATCCCCGCGGACTTCAGAGACCCAGTGTATCCATTCCCGTTTCCCTAACATCTGTGAAAAGCAATGCCTTGTACCTTGCATGGTCCTCATAAATGCAGAACTGGAGTTTCCAACATGAGATGCTCTAGAATCATAGCCTTTTGAAACTGCAGAACCTCGACATCAGGTTAAAACCAGGTTCTGCAGCCACCAGAGTCTGAAACAACAACATTCTACACATCCATATAATCAGCTGGTCTGTGATCGGGCATCCTCCTTTGACAACTTTGGTTGGGAATTATTACTGCATTTCCTGTTAAACCACACTGAGAGTTCCCATCACTATCTAGGTCACACTTTCCCCCTTGCTGGAAATAGACCCATCCCTTGTACCCAAGACAGCCTGGGCTGCCACCACCAGAAGAGGGCACCTGACACAGAACTAAAAGTCACCACAATGCATTTAGAGAGATGGTGACCCACTTCATCACAGTGGGTGCAGATGCATTTTATCATATCAAGTCCCTGAGAATTCCTCCCACAGCACTCAGCAGTCCATGTCTCCGCCCCAGGGACAGCTGTGATGCAGGTGACAAAGAGTGCATTAAAACTTGCTTTGGAATTCACATCCCCATACCACCATCTGTTTTCCTCTTGTGCTAATGGGAGGATAAGAAACTGGAGGAGGGAGAAAGAAAACACTAGACTTTGCCTAGGTTGTGTGGTGCTGACCGAAATCCCAACAGGAGGGTAGAGAGTTCAAGGCCAGCCTGGGCTTCCTAGGAAGTTCATGGCCAGCCTTCTACATACTAAGACCTTATTCCAGCAAATTTATTTGTTTATTTTTCAATTAGTTGTGTGCCTGTTTGCATGTGTATGCCTGTATGTCACGGTGACTGTGTGGAGGTCAGAAGGCAACTTACAACAAGCAGAGTCTCTCCTACCATGTGGATCCTGAGGGTTGAACTTGGGTTGTCAGACTTGACAGGCAGTGTGGCCAGCTGAGCTATCTGACCATCTTCCCACCTACCAAATTTTATAGAAAGGAATTCTTGACTGGCAAAAAAAAAAAAATAAGATCCCATACAATAACTGCTATGTTAATAACAATAACGGTGGTCTATTTAATGAGGCATGGGGTCTAAGAGATTTACATCTATTATCAACCAATTAATTTGCTCTTCAGTCTATGAAATGGCATCTTACCATCCCTTACAGATTAGAAGCTGAAGGACAAAGAAGCCATATACCTGGCCAAGGTTCCCACCCTGGTAAGACCAGGACTGAGCCCAGTGGTCTGCCTCTAGATTTGGTGCTCTCAATACTTTCCACCCTAAAATTCAGCCAGGTTATCTCCTCCCAGAGTCACGGGCTCTGCAGTGAAATGATGACCTTGAAGTAGGCATGGTCACGCCCCCCCAGTCCACCCGTGTTAACCAGGCCAGAATGCAGGGAGTACTGTGTTTTTAGGTCCATGTGGCTTCAACATGTGTATGTCTTAAATCCAGATCTAATGAACAAAAGTTGCTGCTGTGGTTTAAATGGCAAATATCCACCATGACTCATGTGTTGAGCACTTGATCCCCCATCTGATGGCACTGTTTGGGAAGGTTGTGGAACCCTTGGGAGACAGAGCTTGCTGGATCACTGGAGAGGAAGACTTCAGGTTTTATAGACCAGTCCCACCTCCTGTCTGCTTCCTGCCTACCAAGATGTAAGAAGAGGAGGAGTCACACTCCAGTCACCTGACTCCCACTGTGATGGACTGTGTGCCCTCAAACTGTGAGCCAAATAAACCCTTCCTTCTTTAAGCTATTTCATCAGATTTTTGTCATGGCAACAGGAAAAGTAACTGCAACAACTGCCAAGAGCCCATGAAAATGGTCCAAATTTTGGTGTTTTCTCTCACAACCCTGGCAGCCCACAGACCATTTTCTTTCTGTTCATCAGCACTGTGGTCCGCCAGAAGTGGGTTAAAGGTAGCAAGCTTATGGTGATGATGACTCAAAACAGACATGGTTCTGAACCCTTAAGGGTGATGTCTTTGCTCAAAAGGGTTCTGCTGGAAAAGGGCACAAACATGGTAGGCTAGGCTGAGTACTGTTGCCCCAAATAATCTTTACCTAGAATCTAAGAATGGGCCTTATTGGGAAATAGACATTGCAGAATCAGTTGAGTTTAGCTTCAAATCCTCTTCCTCCCTCTGCTCATCTTCCTCCTTCTCTTCTGTGCCTCCTTTTTGTCCCTTCTCTTCTTCCTCTTCCTCCTTCTCTTTCTCTTTAAGTTCAAATTTGGAAAAAGAATATGTGACTAAGTGATAATATACGTGAGATTCACGTTATGGTTAGAGTTGCTGTCAAGCATAGATCATAAACACACAGAAGAGCTCCTGAGATGTCTTTGTTTAGAGAAGTCTAGGCCTTAGTCAAGAGTCAACAAGTCTCTGTATAGTGGCACAAAAGCTTGACAATGCTCGATGCTCAGGGGGTTGTGGGTGGAGCAATCTCTCAATCCAGAGGACAAGCATAGAAGGAACCATAGCCAGCGTTCACTGGCCAGAGAGAAATGATCCCCGGTTAGGCCACTTTCACGTTTCCTCGGAGAGAGGCTGCGGGAAGGGGCTTATGCTGTGTTGGCTGATGGTGCATTTACAAGCAGGTATATGTTTGCTCTCTGGGAGGCCATTATGCTGCCGTCCAGAGAATCATGCTGCAGGTAAACACCTTTAAAAGGAGTTCAGATGCCAAAGATGGGAAGGGACTGAGACCCAGGAAGACAGAAGGGTGAAACTGAAGAGTCAAGGGAGCGATTATTGCATTTTATCAGGGAAGCCCAGTGGAAGTCTGTGTTTTCTCAACATCCTGGAACTGCTGTCACAAACATTTAAGGGCCCTCCACGCTGTTCACCAGACCTGATTATAGCTCTCAGTCCTTGGATCAGGAAAGCTCACACTGGAATTCCTCCATCTCAGAAACCTTCCAAAGCACAGGCAACAAGAGAGTGATAAAAACCTACATCGCCAAGCAGACAGAACTCCTTTCCATGTGGGCTTAATTTGCAGACTTCTTCCTTGAGCTTCCCAAGGTCATCCAGTTCCTAATGGAGGAAGCTTGCTTTCCTTGTCATTAGAGCATGCTCAGAAGTTTCTCTTTGCTCTCTTGACATACATTTTGTTTTGTTATTGCAAAATGGGATCAAAATTAGTTCTGAAACTGGTCATGAGACCCTTTCCCTGACACCCACGGACTCAATCTCTAACCCCAGAATTTATATACCAAACAAAGACACCTTGACATAGAACCATTTCTTCTGCTAAGTTTGGCCTTTGAGATCCTGGGATAGCTGAGATTCTTCAGTTATTGCCATCCTCCTGTCTGCTCTCCTTGGTCCTGATATTGATTTTGAATATTGAATCTTAATAGTCTGGACAGATGTTAGAGAAACCACAGAACCTGTCATCTTCCTCCTAAATTGAGTTTAGTTAAATGATTCTCAACCTGAAATTCACAATCATGACATAATAGAAATTTGTGGCACTGAGACCAAGTCAGAGTCATGAGATTTATTAAAAGTCCCTATGTCTGGGACTTTCTGGAAAAATCTGTGCAAAATCAGTATTTAAGAATATGTCAATAAAGCATGCTTGCAACCCTTCAAATTCACATCCTAATGCTTATGAAAATGCTGTGTCTGGGCTCCTCTCGTGGATGTGCGATTTAATTTGCCTGGCTTAGACACCATCAATTCTTACTCTCAGGATTGCCAGCTTAGGATTGCCAGGGACTGACAGCTTCTGCTCCGTGGGGGATGTTCAGCAAAACCAAGCAAAAAGATTATTGAAAAACAAATGAACAAAGAACTAAAAGAACCCACTGGGGGCAGGATCAGAGCTCTGGGTCTGCAGCATGAGTGACAGGTGGGACAGGACATCACACTGCTTGGACATTGCTTCTCACTACTCTTCTTCCTCCTGCCTCCTCCTCCACTTCCCTCCTGCCTCCCCCTCCTCTTCCCTCCTGCCTCCCCCTCC